ATGGTATAACTTTCCTGTAAAAAAAATAGAAAACTGTATTCAGTTTACTAATTATCTTCCAAATATTTGATTTAAAGTCAAATTTTCTACCTTCATCATTAGAAATAAATATTTTGAAATGAAAAATAAAATTAATTTCAAGGAAATTTTTGAAAGAAAAAGTAAAATTTCCCACTTTCTTATAATTGAAAAGAAATAGTGGTGGGTATTATTTATTATTTCCATTTACTTAGAAAATATAAAGCAATTATTGAATATGTGTCCTAAAATAGTATTTCTCATTTCTAAATCTTGTATTGAATTGTTCTAAATTTTTTATGTTGTATAAAATTGAAAATAACTATGTTTTTTTTCAAATGTTTATATAGCGTTGAGAAGAATGAAATGAAACATCGGATCCACACAATCATCTGACTAGAGCTCAAAATGTGGAACAAGGAAGTAATGGACATAGAGAATGGATCTTATTGGATTAGGAAATAAATTTCAGGTTAAGGGACTTGAGATTCAATGACTTGGACGTTAAAAGAATCAGGAGTAGTAGGTTGTGTCTCCATCCTACGAGACTCACTTGTGGATTCAGCTCTGTTCCTCGAATCTTCCAACCATCCTTCTATCGTGGACTGCACTACATCGTCGAATATGCCTTTCTTGAACTTTGTACCCATCTTAAAAAATAAAAATAAAAAGAATTAATCCAAAGTTTGCTAATTACTTGTGGTCTATGTACAGTATGTTGTCATGCACTTACCTGTGTTACAAGAGCATATAGTGGCAATGTGCTGTAACTGCAAAGCACTTGGACTAACACTCTGTATGACCAAATCAATTAAACCCAAAAGATCAATATTTAAATCTTTCAATTGTTAGGACTTAAAGAGTACGTACATATTATTACGTACCCCATGATGAGTCGTGGGATAAGGAACCCTAGTTTCTCCATGATACACGAACGTATTCCATATGTGAACTGATGATAACAAAGAAACAGTTGAGATCTAAACACTCGAGATTGTGGAAGAGAAAAGGAAAGTAGAGTGGAGAGGAAATATTGTACCAAAATCCAAAAGAAGAAAGCGATCTCAAAGGAATTCTGAAAGAGAATGAAGTGAATGAGTTGGAGGACAATGCCTGGCCTATGGAACCAAAAGAGTTCATCAGAAGGTGTGATCACTGCTTCTTCTTCGCGGCTTCGCTTCTCGGAAACATCCAGAGCTAAGCTACTTATTATATTTTCCAACTTGGCACCCACCATTAGTAACAACTGCATTCCAATTGAACACTTTTAGCCATTCTAAAATAAGAGGTAAAAATTTGTTTAAATACACAAATTTTTAGAAGTAACTTACGATCAAAGGCAAGAAAGACAACCAGAAGTAAGTATTCCAGCCTCCTACATTCAGCAGCAAGAAGACGACGACAAAGAGCCAGAGATACCAGCTTTATATATAACGCGATCACATCAATAAAAAGATCTAATCTTGCAATTGGTGTGTTTAATTATCTAGAGAGCTGATTGCATTCACCTTATGCTCACAACTTTCTTGAAATCTATTTCCAGTGTCCTTAGCATGTACTTGTGAAAATCAAATGATGGATTTGTACGGCAATGGGTCTGCCAAGTTGAATGAATACACGTTATCTAAGAGATTTGGTAAAAGAAGCAATGTGTTGATAAAATACAATAAAGTAAAGACCATGATAAACCCTTGTCGTAGAGCAATGTACTCTGATTTGGTGACAGAACCATAAAACTGCTTGAAGAATGATCTCTGCACCAACACAAGATTAAATTGGCTAATCTCATCAGAAATCAAATAGGATCTTAATTAGTAGATAAATGTTTGGCAGTAGTATCCAACAAAACTCACCAGCCAGCTGATGACAGCAGATCTTCTCCAGAATCCTCCAGCATGCATCTGGAAGAACTCGTGATTTGCGTTAAATAACTCGTGAAGGGCGTGAGCATGAGCATGACCACGCCTTGATGCTCCTGCTACATTTTCTTACTTAGTTTCTTATTTTTTAAGGTGCAAAATCCCCAAAACAAGAATCTCACCTTTTTGAGAGGGATGTTTCTTGAACCAATCCTCCCAATGCTTCCATTGTTGTATCTACATGTAGTTTCAAATCAATGAACTAATCAAAGCCAACATAGAAAGCTTCAATGTTGTGTTTGAGCAGTGCAAAAGCAAGAGACATTACCCTGGCTCCTCCAAGAACCATGGTTGAGGCACAAAAGATGACGTGAAAAACCGCTAGCACGAATATGAAGATATGGAGTTGATGCAACGCTTCCACGGATACTAAAGGAACCTGCCCCTGCAGCCATGTTGAATGGAAATGCAAGAGATCCATGGTTAATTGATGAAAAGGATCCATGTACTACGAGAGGGAGGTTTAGGGACATGAAAAAGAACACAAATTGCCTTGGCAGAACAATGGTGTGGACTTCCTTCTGTCGAAAGGAGATGTCTTGCATTGATGGTGACCGAATGAGATGATTCTGGAGCATGATGCTTCTTCTTACAGGGGAACATGTTGTTGACTAGAGCTGGTGGGACACAGATCTGTCTAATCGCGGTTTGAGACACCGTTAACATTAGGGAGATAAATCCGAGGAGCATCAGTTCTGTTCAGGACATTGGTTCTAGTAGGTCAGGTGTATTCATGTCTAAAAAGCAGAGGAAATTGAGGAAGAAAGAAACTAAACCTTCTTTAAGTTTCTGCAAGGCCTCGAACAAGGCATCTTGTCTCCTACGTTTCAGACACTGGGACACAAAGAATGGCAAGTTAAGAAGAATGGTCATGACTTAAACTCAAGACTTGTAGCTAGATACAGTGATATAACCTTTCCAAGATGATGAAGACCACGTTCGGCAAGAAGAGATAAGAGAACAATGATGAAACAGATAAACGCAACGACCCATGTGGGTGTATATTCAAGAGACGTCTCTTCTGCCATTTCTGCACCTCAAGATGGAGACTAACTCTTTATTGTTATTATTTAAATCAGAGAATTAGTAACATAACAAGTCGAGGGAAAAGAATAGAGAGAAAGGGCAGTGTTTAGGTTATCTTTCCACTAAAGCACAAAACTTTTCTTGTGTCTAAAGCAACCACTTAAAAGTTCGAAAACAAAGAATCAAACATAATTGTAAATTGTATTATATCCATAGAATCAAACATATTGTAATTTGTAAGCTTCGTTTAGCTCAGAAGCAAGCTCGTCTTTACCTTTTTCTCTTTTACGAATAGTACAACTATACAGGGTGTGTTTGTTTTTGTGTTATGTCCCAACCAAAATATATAATTAATGTTGTCTTCTTCTTTTTTGGGTTTGATAAAATTCTAAATATCATTAGTTTAGATAAATAATTTTAGAATTTCTTCGATCTTAAAACAATGTATACCAATAAATAATTTTAATATTTTTGAAATACATGTGTGCGTAGTTCCATAAACAAAGATACTATATGACAATGTATTAATAAGTCGCGTAGGATAAATTAACTAGAATCATTTGCAACAAGTTAAAAATGAAAATAAACAAATTATATGCAAGATAACATGATAGAGAAAAAAAAACATCAACTCATTGATTTATCCAAAGAAACGAAGATAGAGAGCAAATGATATATGCAAGAGATTACATTTTCCTTTATTATCAAAGAAGAAAAATAAAAGAAAAAAGGATTACATTATCCATCTTTGATGAACTAATTGCCTCCAATAAAATCTTAGATTTGAGCCAAACTTGGAACATAAGTAGACATAATTGGCCAATATGCTGAAGATTCGAATTTAAGATCTTCTTCTCTGTAATCATTCTCTCCAACAATGTGTACTATGTCTTTCCAATTGCCCTCTTTAATTACTTGACTACGAAATATAACGACTTTCTTCTCCTTATCGATTAAAAAATTCATATGACCCGAAAACTTACGTGAAGGATAGACATTTATCATACCCGATGTGAAGAACTTACTCCACGATACAAAGTTTGGTTTAATCTCATTTGTCATCCATATCTCTATCTGAATTGGAAACAAGTTATAATATAACAACGAAAGGTGTTCATCTTTAACAACAGATAGATCCATCTCTTTATAATCATTTTGAACTGGTAGACACAAACACTCAAATATCTCTGTTGTAAAATTAAAACTTATTAACACCGAATTTGGTCCTTCCTTTTTACCAATCCAATAAGCATTTCCTTTCAAAAACACGCCACGAAATCATAAATTAAAATCTGAAGGGTCAAGAACCCTCCAAGAATTAGAGTTAAACTCATAAATCTCCAAATTAAATATGTGGTGACAAAAAGAAGCCTTCAAGATTTTGTAGAAACGGAAAGATGAATTGTTTTCGTATCCAAAAACATAATTATGGCCATATCATCCAATATCACACTTACGATCATATTCAGTGCTTGGTTCGAACCACTTGGTTTTCCCCGTACATGGGTTCCAAACAACAAATCTATTGTTCTTTGTGGTGCATAACAATAAGCCGTCGCAATGATATATATCATAGATATCAACTTCTGTATTATAAGGGGAATCGATTAGACTAGGTTCTTTTTTTTTTGATAAAAGGTAAATATCATTTAGACAATGAAATGTTAGAGGTTACAAAAGTTACATCTAAATCTTACAATACCTTGTCCAAAAAAAGAATAAAAAAGCAAGGTAGTATAAAGTTGTGTCATGAACACAAAACTCATCTTAGCCAAAGCAACATAATGTTGTTAAAGTCACTGCGTTTCCTTCTTGCCGTGATCGAATTCTTGACGTCCCAATAGATGGTTTGGAAGACCAAGATTGGAGGAATTGCCGTTTGATTATGAAGGACATTATTGCGCTGCTTCCATAGATGAAAAACAGTAGCTTGAGCCACAAGCTTCCTAAGTAGAGACGGCGCCGTAGGAG